TAGCTTTTCAATTTGAATTACTTTTTGTATGTTTATAATTTTATCAAATATATCTAGGCACGAACTATGTGAGGATAAAATATACTTTTTAATTTATAGAACTCTAAAACCCGCCGAGTACTCAGACAGTGAAATCTAACTACTATACTCCATGGGAAAATTGGGTACAAGGAGTCAGGGTTTAACGCTGCTTTGAACACTACTCTAGGCATGGCGTGTCAGCTTAATGTTGGAGGAAAGCCAGAAATGATGCAGGTCTCAGACGTTTAAAATTTTGGTGAAACCATAGACATTGAATACGAATTATTTAGGTTTACCCGTATTACCTGGGTGGGTTAAAGACAACAAAATAGAATATACTAATGAATGAGAGATGACAATGTGATCCATGCAAGGATGGAAGGTAGCAGTACAAATAATTTAGTACCCAAACTTTGGAGTAACCCCAAACTCACAATTGGACTTTATAATTTCATAAGGGGCGGACGGGTAGCTTAGTGGTTAAAGCGTTCGCTCGTCACGCCGATGACCCGGGTTCGCTTCCCGACATGGGTACAATGTGTGAAGCATATTTCTGGTGTCCCCCGCCGTGATATTGCTGGAATATAAACCTCACTCATTCACTATGAGTTGGTCAGGCTTGCTGACTTGGTTAATGCATGTCATCGATCCAAATTGCGTGGATCGATGCTCATGATATTAATCTCTGGGTTGTCTGGTACAGACTCGATTATTTACAGCCCGCCGTCATATAGCTGGAATATTGCTGAGTGCGGCGTTAAACAAACCAACCAACCATTGTGTTCCTGAACACAACTGTATTGTTCATCTCAAAGATGGTATAAATTAGACCGCTTTAATTAGACCGTTTTAATTAGACAAGAGGGAATATTACTCAGTATTGAAATGTTTGAATTTGGTTCATAACATTTGCTCGAAAAAAGGGTCAGATTTTATATCTCATTTAAAAAAGACCTGCACGGTAATTATAGAATGTGTTATAGAACATGGTACACTTTATGACTATATTTATCTTAAAATCGGAAGGGGTTTCACCGAAGTGGTAAACGTCTGAGACCTGCATCACTTCGGGCTTTCCTCCCACATTTAACTGACACGCCGTGACATAACTGGAATACTTTTTAAAGCGGCGTTTAACCCAACTCACTCACTAAAAGCGTAAGAATTATCGTTTTCCCACATGTTTGCCATTGCTACACTTTAAGCAACGTGTTTGCTTTAAATACCACGATCTGTGACACTATAAATTGGTATATAGGTAGATATAATACTAGTCTATAGATGTGAACATTTTTGATGATACATCTCTGATGTGTAAGTTGATTTTGACAGCCCGGGCCAAGTCGGACCGAACACAGATCAAACACTTCTGATTGAGACAATGTTGAGAATGTAGAGAAAAACGGCTTCGCTTTAAGCAACGTGTTTGGTTTAAATACAGTAAACAGTGACATTATAAAGTTGTATTTAAGTAAATATAATACGAGTCTATAGATGTAAACACGTTTGGGGATAGAAATGTCTGGATTCCGATGTTTTTAACCGTTCACGGCAGGTTGGACCAAACACTTGTGACTGAGGTTATATTGGGAATTAATATTACCAACGTATTTGTTTAAAATGCCACAATCTGTGACACTATAAAGTGGCATTAGGTAGATATGATAGTCTGCTTTATATTAAACACATTCCACGATACAACTGTGACGTATGCTACCTGGGTTAGTTGATTTTGATAAGAAACACAATGGAGGCCATGTTTAGAGTATAGAGAAAATAAGGTTTCACTTTGACGAACGAGTCCTTTTACGATTTGAAGTAGGGTAGATTAAATATTGTTCTGTAGATGTTAACATATTTCAGGATACATCTTTTTTGTTTTAATTGATTTTGACCGCCCGGGCCAAGCCAGACCGAACACTTGAGATTCCCATCTGAATGCACTGATATGTGAGCGGAAAATGAAATGGCTTTCTTTAACTTCCTTGCTTGTATGAGTTTAATGCCATATATTATGTCATTTTATCTTCGTATATAGTTAGATATACGGTAGGGCTGGGACGAGTCCAAATTTACTACCCCGGTACCCACCCCCTATTACCCAAGTACCGACTGTAGGTCTCAAGAGATACAACAAGTCCGATTGGGAATTATTTTTTAACCATAGCACTTGCAAAACATATTTAGATACATGTATTAAACGATCTGGCTATGCTTACACTGAAGTTGACTTAGCTAGGTTATATCTTTATTCAACCATATGAAAAGTCAGAAGGAATGGGTGCACAGTCAGAAAGAAATGCGAACATTAGTTACTTGTAGTGTAACCATAGAGTTCCAGATATTTTTTGTCATTAAACAATATATATATTACGTGACTAACCACGCGTCCGGGTTGTCCTGTGGGTACCGGGTCCTACTCAGTACCCACCCGACCCGGGAACCCGAGTTACCCGTCCCCCCCCCCTAATAGACAGCTGTGTCGGACAGATGGAAATTTGTATCACTATAGATGGAAGTATTTGATGCGTTTCAAATCTTATTTCGTTTTACGATTCATTTTATACATGTAACCTAGCACAACCACACTCGACTTCCTGATTTTCAAGCGATTTACTCGAAATAACTCAATTAAAGGGGCACTGATCTAACGCAATTCCCCGGACTGGTTGTTGCCTTTGTTATTGTTTTTTCCCCCGTGAGTACCCGGATGATACGCAACGCAACTGAGCGTGACCAGAGACTGGGCTACCGTCTGCAAGGACAGTTAAATAAACTTGGAGGCTGGAGGCAATATTTGTTTTACGCATTTTTGCATAAACACTAATTGGTTAACTGTGATCTATAAAGATTTCGACAAAGGGCGCATGTTAATTAATTTCTTCAGTCTAAACAAACAGACAAAAAGTACAGCGGAGCTCATCGGATGTCGTCATTTGGAAATGCCCCAAATTGTTATAGTTTAATACTAAAAACAGTATCCATGCACTGAAAGCATTTTCGGATTGCGTCGATAATACGATTACTACTCCCTTGTTGTCATCCACGTTTTCTCGTATAAACCTACACTTGTGTATTTGTCGTCATACACTTGATGCTCAGTTAATGAATTTATTACAGGTACAATTAGCGGTAGCACCACTTAGATTACCTGACAAAGGTTCCCATTCGGCATTTATTGTGTCTGGGGTGATTATTCAATCTAAATCCAGGTTTGAAGTGAGGTGAAATGTGTGTTATGTAATATGCACGTGGCAGCCCAGCAAGAGATGAATAATCAGTTGATTTACTTCTTTTTTTTATAAATCAACGGATCGTTCCTAGTCATCAAAGGATTAACAGAAAATACGTTGATTGATTAATCACTGTTATCTTGCACAGTGGATATGTCAAGAGTGAGTGTTTACATGTCTAGGTTTACTAAAACAAAGGGAATACACTCATACCATGGCGTGAAGTGCCGATGTAAAAACAACATACTTTGTTCAAAGGGTTAACTGATAATACGTTGATTGATTGATCATTGTTATCACTCAATGGATATTTTAGGAACCGTGGACGTTATGAAAATAGTTGTCACGTGGGCTTTCTCAGCCGACCTTTGAGACTTGACACCTATGTCAAACCCCTGAAACAATCCAAGTGATCAGTTGAGAAACGAACACGGGTTATAATATCCCGAAACGATATATATCTTTTAAAATATTTGATTGTTACAGGGACACGTGACATCGAATAAGTTTCTTTGTAGTCGAGTGGGATATTGTTCCCTTGTGTGGATATTCACGGATACATTCCTCGAACAAGGAAGCTGCCTAAAATTTATACACATAAATTTGGTAGGTTGCAATTATGGTATTTGCATTTTGTTTTCCTTCATTTGAACCGATAATTCGTTCTTGTTTCTCTACGTCTTGGTTGGGAAATTCTTCAATGCGCGATAGACGTTGTTTTCACAGGTCTTTTCCTTTGTAAGCGTGTTTATATTACCGTCAATTTGTAAAATGTGATTCTCTCAGGCAATTTATAAAATGTGAAAATATTTCAGTCATTGATTAAGACTATCAAAAGGGCCTACACACATCACAACAGATTATTATGTAGGATTAGAAGCCAAACAACATAGAAATGTACTTTTCATAGTAACATTTTCAGTCTCTTGGTGAAGACATAAAACATCAAAATGTTTGGAATTCATTATCATAATAATAGAGATGGAAATGTCTTTTAGTCAATTTGTAAAGTAACTGAATATTTAGACGTTTAATAAATATGTTACACATTTTGACAGTAAAATAATATACACACTATAAAAAAAGCAATGCTAAGGTGAAATATTTACTTTATGTTGCAAGTCAAAATAGTGTAAACAAAAATCGCAAAATTACCAAGCAAGTGACTTATCAAAACTTTGTCACCATTACCGTTGCTACCCACAAAGATACCTATATTTCCTTATTATCTCGAAAACTGTATTTCATTTCGTTGATCAATGTGACCAGACGCCCTTATTACTACCCATAAAAGTGACTGATGCGCTTACGAATTGCGCAGCAGAGGTCGCGAACTAGTCTAGATTTCTGCTATACATCCGGGTACTCACTGGGAAAAAACAATAACAAAGGCAACAACCAGTCCCGGGGAATTGCGTTAGATCAGTGCCCCTTTAAGTTGGTCGTTTGTGGTTTGTGGTTGTTCATAATGTCATGTGTGTATGTTCCGTTAATAACATGTAGGTATGGTCGTCGATTATGGAGTAATTATTCAATAATAACGTTGGCCCATCTTTGCCATGCCCGACTTTTCGACAATCCCGAATGTTATTCACAACTCGATCAGTGGTAAACACTCCATCCGTTCCCACGTCCTGGATCCGTCTCAGTCCATTCAATACTTAGAACAGGAGAACGTTGTTCCGGGTACATACAAAGCTCCGCATCGCGCATAAAGAAACCGTGTTGTTATGCAATATAAGCAACTCACAGTGTTCGGAGTTGTCAATTGACCCGGACACAAAAACAAAGTGCTCTCCCTTGTTCCTGCGCCCCCTAGCGTCGTCTGCAAACGAGTGGAATCTGTGGTTGTGACAGGATGGCTGAAAAATTTCTTCCTCACTACGCTGATGGTGAAGTGGTGAAAGGGTTTGGTCGTGGCAGCAAGGAGCTTGGTATTCCAACAGGTAACGTGATATGATCGCAGCGAAAGGAGTATACTTAGAAATTAAATAACTAGGCCCTCAATGACGAACGAATCCTGTCTGCCGTGAGAAATTTCTAGATAGTTAATTAGTTTGTCATGGTGATTGACTCAGATATATGTAGTGACAGCCGTGATCCGGTAAATACAAGTTTGTCTGTTATGCCTTTGATAATCACTGACATATATCTGAAATGTACATTGTGGTATATGTATAGGTTAGCCAGATAATAAGGGGATATGCGAGGTCAAAATATTATGTAAACAGTAATTTGTGCCGAAGAGGTCGTTGTCGGCACAGGTACTACAGAGAGTGAGTGAGTGAGTTTAATTTTACGCCGCTTTTAGCAATATTCCAGCAATATCACGGCGGGGGACACCAGAAATGGGCTTCACACATTGTACCCATGTCGGGAATCGAACCCAGGTCTTCGGCGTGACGAGCGAACGCTTTAACCACTAGGCTACCCGACCGCCCCTACACAGGTACTACAGAAACGTGTCTGTATACAGAAATGACCCCAGCCGGAAATATACCCTTATTCATGTTAATGAGTGCATTCCACCTGGGGTATATATCTGTAGTGAGTGAGTGAGTATGGTTTTACGCCGCTTTTAGCAATATTCCAGCAACATCACGGCGGGGGACACCAGAAATGAGCTTCACACATTGTACCCATGTCGGGAATCGAACCCGGGTCTTCGGCGTGACGAGCGAACGCTTTAACCACTAGGCTACCCGACCGCCCCGGTATATATCTGTAGCCGACAGCGACCCCTTCAGTGTCATTTGTATCTTGTGTACACGCTATTGGCAATATAAATGACAACGAGGTGACTTTTGAGTGGCTTTTGATTAAACTGAGTTTGAAACACCTAGAAGGCTGGCCTTTTCCCTTAAGACTCATCCTGACACTACATTATATCTGTTTTGATGTGTCTGCTGGGTACTCGAGAGCTGCAATAGGGCCCTACACTCAAGACGTGATGTAGGTCGGGTCATGTCTTGACTATACTATAGAAATACGTAGAAATTTTGGTATTTGAATACCCTTGGTCTGAAATTTTAGAAGCCTGACCAGTCTGATCACATCCTTGTGAAAGTCAAACTGATATTTCACATTGTATCTCATCATAGGGGCCCCTTGCTTAATCTATGAGGGTCCTGAGGGGGGGTGTACTGTTTTCCTTAAAACAAGTGAAAAAACACTGCAGTAAATGTAAGATAGTGAAAAGATTGGCGTAAAATATCCATAAAAACGGCTGAACTTTACTCTTTATTGGGCTACATTTATTGTAATCATGCTAAAATCTTTTAAAGTCCTACATAACCAGATCTAATGACACAAGACAACCCAGACCGTGTTTGATATTTGCAAGACATCAATTGCAGTAATGATACGAAGTATGACCAGCTGTTCCCAGGTTTCCCTACAGACAGCCTGACGATCCACATTCGCATAGAGATTATTTCAAATTTTAGTTTCAATGTGACAGCTTGTCCTCTATTCAAGTGTGTTTGAACTGATCTGAAATTACAGACTATGGTACTGATTAAGGGGCCCAAATTTGACAGCGTTAGAAATTGGCACTAGTCCTGTAGTCCTTGCCAAACTGCCCGATAGTAAAGGTATCCTAAGGACTAGTAGAAATTGGCCCATTTTAAGTGTTTTTCTATATGTTATCATTATAAGGACTAGTGAACAAAAACTGTTAGTTTCTAACCCTGTTTGACAGATTACCGACTTGTAACATCCCCCATCAAGACCCTTATCTACTATCAACTGCTCTGTCAAGCCCTTGCGGAGTTCAAGGTGGTTGTGTAGAGGGGTTCTTGTCATGACTGTGCAGATTTAGGGGGTCGCTAGATTCAAATAGTTCAAACCTCAAGGACAACCAGTACCCTTGTAATTTCAAATCTGGTCAATGTTTTTATTTTCCCCAAATCTAGTTATAGAACATAAACCCCTATTTCAGAATGAATTGTGGATTAGATGGATATGATCAATGGTGCCTATCTTTCTGTTGTATTGGTGGAATATTGTTGACTGCCATGTTAAGTAAAGTTCACTTGCTCTTTATAGTCAATCAGGTACACAGGAGTTAATTACCAAATCTTTCAACAAACTGTATTTGGTCTATTAGTTCCGGGGTAGAATAGGCCTTTAGCAACCCATGCTTGCCGTAAAAGGCGACTATGCTTGTCGTAGGAGGCGACTAACGGGATTGCTGACGTGGTTGATGCATGTCATTGATCCCAATTACGTGGATGGATGCTCATGATGTCATCCACTCTATTGTCTGTTCCAGACTGGATTATTTCCAGACCGCCGTCATGTAGCTGGAATATTGCTGAGAGCGGCATTAAACAACAAAAAAACAAACTGTATAATCAATTAATTTTCGTGCAAGCCATTGAACCAGAATCTATTTTGAGGCCAGGCATCTATTTATTGCTGGCACAGTAGCAACTCACTACCTTACCATCCCAAATTCTTCATTCATACAATTCAATTCATAGGACTAGGACTAGTAGAAATTTGCCATTTTTAAGGGGTTTGCTATATGTTATCATTATCAGGACTAGTGGGCTGAAACTGATAGTTTCTACCCCTGTCACAGTATAAAATCGTTTTTTGAGACACAGCATCTCTTTTTTGGACAGAGGGTCAATTGGAGACCAAGCGTCTAATAGAGGAAATACAGTACATGTGTAGCATCATGATGTTTACATGAGTGAGTGAGTGAGTATGGTTTAACGCCGCTTTTAGCAATATTCCAGCAATATCTCAGCGGGGGACACCAGAAATGGGCTTCACACATTGTACCCATGTCGGGAATCGAACCCAGGTCTTCGGCGTGATGAGCGAACACTTTAACCACAAGGCTACCCGACCGCCCCTGATGGTTACATAACACGGTGACCATTCCAATGTTGGTCAAGTGTTTCTACAATGTGTTCAGCAACCCATGCTTGCCATAAAAGGCTTATGCTTGTCGTAAGAAGCGACTAACTATCCAAATTGCGTGGATCGATGCTCATGATGTCAATCACTGGATTGTCTGGTCCATATATAGCTGGACTATTGCTAAGTGTGGCGTTAAACAACAAACAAACAAAAACAACGAACTATGAAGAGGTTAGCATGATGAAAGTAAATTCTTGTAAAGACGCTATGTAGACTCTGGGTTCGTTCCCAGAAGGAGGTGAACAAAAGGATTGGGTGGTCAGATTAGGTGACTTGGTTGATAGCATAGCGTTGATCCACTGGACTGTCCAGTTCACATGCAGATATTTTTAGGCCACCATAGTAATGCTGAATGTAGCAAAGGTGCCTCAGGCACTGATAAAGGTGTTTGGGCGTGCAACAATATGAACAAATTGCAAGTGATTCCATGGCATTTTAATAGCCAACCTTGCAATTCTTTTTGCAGTTATGTATAAGTAGCCTCACCCCTCACAAATCATGTGGTGCGTCATGTTAACTTGTTTGTCCACATTACTTTTGTTAAAGAACGTCAATGGCTAGGTAATATAAACATCGTCCCAATATAGTTTTTGAAAGTGATTTCTAAGGGACCAGTTCAAAAGTTTGATTTCGGATAAAAAACTTAATTCCTTATGTTTTGAGACATACCCCTCACCCTTAATTCTGAAAAGTTCTTGTCCTTTTCTTCAGAAAGTTTATCGAATGAAGTTTATTTCCTAAGTGTGGATAATCATTTGTAGGGTTTTTACCCAGCAAATCTGTCAATTATATATATATATATAACACTGCACCAGATGGTCTTATGACGGCTATGATAAAATCCTACATTGTGGAAAGACTTTTTTATTAAAGATAACTCCTGACAGCTTATGAATGAAAATAGGATCGGTGTAGTTCAGTTACTAAATATAACATTGATAAATCAGTTTAGTTGATTTTGTCAGATGGAAAATGTGCAGGACCCAAGGGCATCCCCAAACTGAAGGAATTAAGATTTTTTTCCGACATAGAACTTGCCCGAAAGTGTGGTATCCCTAACCGAAAGTGTGGTATCCCAAATATGTTTTTTGACTGTGTCTTTTCGCTGAAATTCCAAGGATTTAAACCCTGTACATGTATTCAAAACTGCTTCCTTTTTCCGCGCATTTCATCTGTGAGATTTTACTGCAAATTACACACTGGGGATTCTGGGTTAGAGTAGAGGCCCCCAGTAATATATGCTTGCCATAAAAGTTGACGAAATGAATCCTATGGTCAGACTTTGTGATCATACCATACCATAACATCAATCACTGGATTGTATGGTCCAGACTATTATTTTCATGCTGGGATGAATTAACTGGAATACTGGTGAATGCAGCGTTAAACAACAAACAAACAATCAAACAAAAACAATGTGTGACGAATCATAGTTCAATGAACTCTGACAAGGTGAACATGGTAAAAGTCAAGTCTTGTAAAAAACCAACAACAACATCATCATCATCATCACCATCATAGTAATAAAAAAATAATGATATGTGTGTACGTTTCAGCCAACTTCCCCGAGGATATTGTGGAGAAGCTACCGGCAGATCTGCCGACTGGAGTTTACTACGGCTGGGCCAACGTGGACGGTGGAGACGTACACAAGATGTGCATGAGTGTGGGCTGGAACCCCTACTACAAGAACACCAAGAAGACCATGGTACGTGGGCGGCGTTGTGTGCACAGTTTTACCCAGCTCTGAATACTTGTGGGTCCTAGGGACTCCAGGGCCCACTTGCACAAAGCGATCTTAGCACTAAGACTATTGTAAGCCTATGTTAAAGTATGGGAGTTACGATCATCTTAGCGCTAAGATCGCTTTGTGCAAGTGGGTCCTGGTAATGATTTTTAGTGTGCCAGGGTGTCCCCTGTACCAACAGCAAATGAAATACAAAATCTGTGTGTGATGCCGGAGACAGTATACCGATATGCTTCTCTTCATTTGAATCAAAACTTAAAGACTGAGTAAAGAAAATCTCACATGGACTGTCTCCACATTGATAGTATTTCGTATCAGAACAGAAATATCAGATAAATTAAATATATATGTTCCAATTAAGTCAGATAAATCAAATATGTTCCAAATGAATCAGATAAATCAAATATACAGTAAAGTACGGTTATAACGAACTCAAAGGGACTACTAATTTTAGTTCGTTATAACCGTAGTTCGTTATAAGCATATATACAGCATAACTACTATGTTTCAATTAAATCAGGTAAATCAAATATGTTCCAATCAAATAAAATAAATATGTTCCAATTAAAGATAAATCAAATAAATATGTCCCATTTAAATCAGATAAATATGTTCCAATTAAATCAAATAAATCTGTTCCAATTAAGGCAAATGAATATGTTCCAATTAAATCAAATAAATATGTTCCAGATAAATCAGGTAAATATGTTCCAGTTAAATCAGGTAAATCAAATATACATCAATAGTCAATGCTCTTTTGCCTCCATTGGAACAGTCAGTGACTATTGTTGCATCCATTCTTTATTGTTATGCATACAGGACACAATATTTTGTGGACCCGTGAAAATTCCGGGGTAGAATAGGTCTTCAGCGACCCATGCTTGCCGTAAAAGGTGACTATGCTTTTCGTAAAAGGTGACTAACGGGATCGGGTGGTCAGTCTCCTTGACTTGGTTGATGCATGTCATCGATCCCAATTGCGTGGATCGATGCTCATGATATTAATCACTGGATTGTCTGGTCCAGACTTGATTATTTACAGACAGCTGTCATATAGCTGGAATATTGCTGAGTGCTGCGTTAAACAACAAACCAAACCAAACCAAAACCAATATTTTGTGTCTGGTAAAACAGAGTGTGTGGTTGTTCTGTGACAAGACATCAGTGGCTGTTGGGAACTATTACTATCAGGGTGGGTATGGGTGGGTGGAAACTCAAGATGGATGACAAGCACCTGCACTGAACTATCCCACTGTAGGAATAGGGACGTTGAAGACTGTAAGCCAACTCCTTGTTCATTGATGCTATGGCTTCTACAGGTTCAAGACAGGGAGAGACACAAGTCACACAACAGGGGGGTTTGTCCATAGTGAATTAAAAATAGACTTGATGATCTCTGCTTTTGTGTGATTTGATCATGTATTGCTGGATGTTTGGTGTATTTTCAGGAAACACACATAATGCACCAGTTCCCGGAAGATTTTTATGGATCACGACTGAAGATTGTAATGGTGGGTTACATCCGGCCCATGTCGACATTTGCATCTCTAGGTGAGAGTTGTCTCCCTTTTGGATAAACGAATTCTATTACTTTACTTTGATGTCCACTACTCGCTACACACATCTTTTTAGCAGTACAGTTTAAAAGTCAACTTGATCCACATTAGTGAGAGTTTGGTTTTAAGCCGCTTTTAGCAATATTCCAGCAATTTCAATGCGGGGGACACCGGAAATGGGCTTCACACATTGTACCCATGTTGGGAATCGAACCCGGGTCTTGGGTGTGACGAGCGAATGCTTTAACTACAAGGCTACCCGATTGCCCCTTGAGCCACATGAAAGCCTATTGGCGCCACACACTCATCTATGTACTGTGAAGAGTTACCTTCCTGAGCTGTGTCAGGATGTGCCTATAATTTGATCCTTCGTTTCTCAGCACACTGTGATTGTGGGTTACACCCAAGTGCTGAGACCATGCCTCTGTCCATCCCCAAGTCAAGTGAGCTTGTGTCGGGCCCTTGCCATCATCATCTTCCCGAGGCAAGAGAGTTAACTGACTTAAAAAGTCACGTTTCTACCCCTGCCAAACTAGGCTGGAATTTCTGGACTCGATCGTAGCGCCACCAGTGGCTATTACGAGTTATGTCCCTTCTCAGCCTCTCCTATGGACCATCAGATTCCAATTCTCGTATTATGATCATTTGATTCAAACAAAATTACGGCGCCGAGTCAAGACGATCTGATTGATAATCAAGATCTATATTGTGATAAAATGGATCTTACATCGTGAACTGCATCAAATCACGTGAGCACCTTGATTTAAAGCATGAAAAGATTTTGAAAATATCTGTTGACAACGAGTTGGCGGTGCACATGCTTTGCAAATCCTACAATTGACCGAAATCTGCATGACAGTTTATGAACCGGATTTCGATTTCATTGCGCGATTTTGATTGGACTATGCATAGACTCGTTAGTCCAGCCATAATATAACTCCATACTATCAGCCCAGTTAAGCAAAGGTGGAAACTGGATTTTTATAGTCAGTTAACTCTCTTGCCTAGGAAGTTGTGCCATCTAAGAAACGACTGGACCAATGAAAATAAATAGGTTTGACACATCCAAGGTTTTGAGGGGCGGTCAGGTAGCCTAGTGGTTAAAGCATTCGCTCATCACGCCGAAGACTCGGATTCGATTCCCGACATGGGTACAATGTGTGAAGCCCATTTCTGGTGTCCCCCGCCGTGATATTGCTGGAATATTGCTAAAAGCGGCGTAAAACCATACTCACTCACTCACTCCAAGGTTTTGACTACCTGTTTAAGTTCCAGACTGTATGTCCAGATAAATATTGTTGATTTTGCAAAACATATTATCATATGATAACCCACATCACTAGTTGCAGAAACAGCTTGTGATCATCCAGGCTTGAGGCTACTGTCCAATTATCATTGTATCATCATGCAGCTGGTTTTAATAGTATGTCCTATCTCACTGGCATGGTATTCTGTGTCATTGTATGGCACCAGCTGTTGACACTCACTCACTCACTCAAGGGTTAATCTAAGAATCAAAAGTAAGTGAGCTGGGCATGCAATTTGGAAAAAACACATTTTTGAAGCTCTTATTTTCTTAAATTCAGAGGTTTCTTTACATTTTATTATGAAATTGCATTCAGTGCAATATTATAAAGCTAAGCATTAAAACCTCTTACTCTTTATTGGTTCATGCTATCAATGAAATACAGGTCACCACCTGTCCATAGCCATAAAATTAGTTATTAATTACAACATGAATTGAAAAATTTATGATTCATTTTGGGGAATTTTTAGACATTTTCTGCTGACCTGGGGTCGAATATTTGCCTCTCAGCAGGTTCAGATAAATCCCATAGTATTCACACCATAAAAATGAACAATACTTACACATACCTTGATCACTGGATTGTCTGGTCCAGACTCGATTATTTACAGACCTCCGTCATATATTGCTGGAATATTGCTGAGTGAGGCGTTAAACAACAAACAAACAAACAAACAAAAAGACAACATGCCTTGATAGAAACTTACATTTTTAGCCCACTAGTCCTTATAATGATAACATATAGCAAACCCCTTAAAATGGCATATGTGTTCTAGTCCTTATGATACCTGAATTACATTTATTAGGCAGTTTGGCAAGGACTTATATTACTATGGACAGTTTCTACTCATTGTATTGAGCACCCTAAATAATGATTTTGTGCCTTGTTTAAGGTTAAGGGGTGGTCGGGTAGCATGTGCACATTAATAACTTAAGTGTAACCCACAATCACAGTGTGCTGAGAAACGAAGGATCAAATTCTAGGCACATCCTGACACAGCTAAGGAAGGTAACTCTTCACAGTACATAGATGAGTGTGTGGCGCAAATAGGATTTCATGTGGCTCAAGGGGCAGTCGAGTAGCCTTGTGGTTAAAACGTTCGCTCGTCACACCGAAGACCTGGGTTCGAATCCCGACATGGGTACAATGTATGAAGCCTATTTCTGGTGTCCCCTGCCGTGATATTGCTGGAATATTGCTAAAAGCGGCATAAAACCTCACTCGCTCACTCACTCACTCACTCACTCACTCACTCACTCACTCACTCACTCACTCACTCACTCACTCACTCACTCACTCACTCACTCACTCACTCACTCACTCACTCACTCACTCACTCACTGTTTATTAAGCCTGGTTCCGGGACTCCCATCCCACTTCAGCTGCATCGTGGGTAGAGTTCCAGGGTGAAGGAAACTCACTTTGAGATCTCTGATATTCATATGAATAGTCATCACATAATCCTAATGCATCTTTTTCTTGCTGTTTCAGATGAATTAATTACGGCCATAAGAAACGATATATCAGAAACAGACAAGAAGCTGGATGAACCAGAAGCACAGCACTTTAAAGTCAACAACTTCTTTGCAACCTCTTGATGTTGGCTTCCTTTAGATTTCATACACACAATCGTCCAACCTCATTAAAATCAGAACTTTGACGACCATACATATATATCTCTGCGTGAAAATTTAACAAACCCTCCAAAGGAGGACGTGTTGGGTCAACCCTCTGTAGGAGGTCATGTCAGGTTAACTATCATGATTCGGAAAGTTTGATCTCAAATAAAAAACCCACTAATATGCCTTCGGTTGTTAACACTTTTGGGTGAAGATGTCACGGCACTTTTCAGAAACAATAGAGGGGTGTACAAAGTTTCCACAACAATATTAATGGTTCTGCTTTTATTATGTTCCATTTGGAACTGTCCCTTTTTATTTGTTTTTGAGAGACAAAATTCAGACATGCACCCCTGATAGCTTTGCTTGCTTGTATCGAGAATTCAGATGCAGTGATTGGCTGATTCGAAACATTTTCTCCCGTTAAGGGTTTGCCAGATTTTCAGTCAGATAGGTATCGCATCAGAGCAATTATTTACTCAGAGTGTCAAATTTGGAAATTTGGCAACATTGATATTATGTTTTACTATGTTTTTAGTTCAGAAATATTATGGTGTATATTTAGTTCAAAACATGAATCAATATTTCACTTGAGTGTTATACCAATATGTGCCGGAACTGCTTTCAACAGCATCAATGAGGCGAAGATCAGTAATGTGTGATGTGTGTAACATTCGACTTTTCTTGTCAAATAATAATTTGATCTCATCTTGTGATAACTGGTGACCTGTGTCCAAATTGACAGTTACTAACAGTTTGAATAATTTATTTCCCTCTAGCTCCAAGCAAGTTTCATCTTTGTGAATTAGACAAGACTTTGCAGATGGAACTGATTCAGCCAAAACTCTGTGTGTTGACTTTGCAGGCGTTAGGAATATAGCTGAGACTTTGCAGGTGTAACTGATTTTGCCGATTTAGCAGATGTAATTGATTTAGCCAGGACTGTGCAGGTGTAACAGATTGAGCTGAGACTATGCAGGTGTAACAGATTTAGCCGAGACTCTGCAGTGTAACAGATTTTGAAAAGACTCGGCAGGTATAACAGATGTGGGCCGAGACTCTGCAGTGTCACAGATTTTGAAAAGACTCGGCAGGTATAACAGATTGAGCCGAGACTCTGCAGTGTAACATATTTTGATAAGACTCGGCAGGTATAACAGATTGAGCCGAGACTCTGCAGTGTAACAGATTTTGAAAAGACTCGGCAGGTATAACAGATGTGGGCCGAGACTCTGCAGTGTCACAGATTTTGAAAAGACTCGGCAGGTATAACAGATTGAGCCGAGACTCTGCAGTGTAACAGATTTTGATAAGACTCGGCAGGTATAACAGATTGAGCCGAGGCTTTGCAAGTGTTGGGCTCAATCTTCCACTTGTCAGTGAGTGTCAGGTAGATAGGTGATCTGTCAACATTGAGCCTCAGAATGTATACAATCTGACGTACTAGAATCTCTGTAAATTAGAATTGACAGAGATTGTTGAGCCTCTGATTGTGTATGAAGTAATGTATCATGTGGGATCTGGTATTATTGTACCTTGCTCGATCCGATACGTATCATGATACTTGCGTGTGCTCTCATCTGTGGCGCGTATGACATATTTTTCAAGGACAGATGTGCCAGATACCTGGCACACCAACGATTTACAGTTGGCAGTGTCACGTGTGGCACAGTGGATAAAAATATTTACATTTTCACTTCTAATTTGTGTCCGGGATAACAGTTATTGAAGCAAACATTTAGGTTTACTCAGTGTACGACTGTAATGAATACTTTCACGAGAATAAATTTGCATCGATGCATCGGTGTTTCGTCCCACACCAACCAAAAAGCAGACCTTTAAAAATAATTCTGCTTGAAAATTTGTGACCTCAAACTTGCATCTTGTCATATTTGTCTCAAAGTGTGCGGCACTTTAGTGCAATAGTCACACATTAGAGTTTATGCATGTGGAGCCTTCATTCCATCAATAAGTAAAGATCTGTAAGGAAATACAGGTACCGTATTCGACGTAATAAAGGCCCCGCTCTTATAAGCACCCTCGGCGATATTTGCAAATATATTGGCTAGTGAACAATCCCAATTAGCACCCCTTCCGATTGAAGACTTATTTATGCACCCTTAATTATGGGCAATTAAATTCTGGAAAAATACATCTGTCTTATATAAACATTTTAGGCTGTCAGTATAAAGCACAAAATTTATTTTTCAATTCTGTTTTTTTCGCCAAAATAGTATTTTAATAAGAGCCCCCTATTTCTAATTTTGAGAGAGTCCTGGGCGCTTATTACGTCAAATACAGTATGCATGCTGACTAGCCAAAATTGATAATCATGCACCGTGTCATTTTCTTGATTTTTAGGCTACTTAAATTTAAAGGGACAGGACGTTGACCGTTCTGAAGTTTACTGGGTAGTTTTTAAACAGTAGCCGGTAACCCCTGAGCTTACTCAACTCTGCTCGCCCTATTCCGTTTCTGCTTCATTGACCACACTGGTGTAGGCTTATCACTGACCAGAGTGGGTTCGAATCCCGGTTCGCCCCAATTATGTTTCTAGGTTTGTCAGCACCATACCCGGCTCGTGGGTTTCACCAAAGTGGTAAACATCTGAGACCTGCATCACTTCGGGCTTTCCTCCCACATTAAGCTGACACACCGTGATATAACTGTAATAATGTTAAAAGCGGCGTTAAACCCAACTCACTCACTCACTCACCAGACTTTTCTCTTGTTTGAAAACAAATGTACTCATTCTGTGCAGACGAGCCAAACCAAGCCTTTCGGGTGCTTTACAATTGTTTTGTAATTGTAATTATATAGATATACTACTAGAACTGCGACAGTGACATATATACTTATTATACAATATAGCTTTACTCATGAAAGTGAGGGGGCACGGGTGGCCCAGTCGTCTAAGGCGCCGCGATTCGCTGTGCAGAGTTGCGTCCCTTGGGCACGCCAGAAACCTATGATTGTGGGTTCGAATCCCGGTTCGCCCCAATTATGTTTCTAGGTTTGTCAGCACCATACCTGTGCTCGTGGGTTTCACCGAAGTGGTAAACGTCTGAGACCTGCATCACTTCGGGCTTTCCTCCCACATTAAGCTGACACGCCGTGATATAACTGGAATACTGTTAAAAGCGTGACCGTTTCGCTAGCTCCCCCCCCAAGGCTTCGAGGACAGGAGGATAAGCACACAAATGGAAATAGTTTTTCACATTTTAGGATATTTTCTTAATGAAAGTGTAACATTTTTAAAGTATGTTTAACTAAATGTGTAGACTCATCCAAAGGGTACAGATGAAAACACATGAACGGACTGTGCAAGATGTGACAATGTGACGGAAAGGACCCTGGGTAGGAGAGTGATTGGCTTCATATGACTGAGGCATATTTATATAGTAATCTAGGCTTTAATAAACACTGGATTCTCGTCTCATCAAGCTGCCAATTAGTATTTTGCAACTCATCCATAAGAAACACACACAAGCTTTCTCTTTAATTTTCATCTATTAAAATACAAGACTGAAGCCAGTTTACTCTGCGCAGCCCTTACGTTGTCGTCTTCACTGTGTGGAGCTCTAGTGTTTGTGTTTGAGATGTGACACTGAGAAATTATTTCATGAATTATTTAAAGACGCACAAAACCGTCGACATACAGTCACTTTAATGTGTAAATCACAAACAAGTGGTGTGTATTTTAGAATTCTTTCAACCTGAGGACGTTAATCTAAGAGGCTGAAAATTACATGCTGTCACAGCCTGTTGTGACAACTCAGTTCTTTTTTAAAGTTATAACTGGAGGGGGGTAAGGGAGGGGGGTTGCTGGGGAAGTGTTTGAATCATTCTCAGTAGGAATGTTTGTGGTTCTGCTTCATCAGCTGAAGATGTTGAAAAGTGCTTTCATCTCATTCTGAGGTACAAAACACCCTATGGCACAGGGATGTTTTATTTTTATTTTTTAGTGAAGGGACCAGAGTCCATTACCTGACCACGAATTATAGCAAGCCAACTTACCAAGGATTTAAACCTATTGTATACTCAACGACAAAAGAAACGCGAACCATAGAAACATATAGAGAAGTGTGTATGTCAAGAAGAGATGTTTCCAATGTGTACCATTGAATGACAACACGGACAATCTGTCAAGTGTTACCACAGCGTGTCTTTTTGTCTTATCACGATATGCTGCAAGTGATTTCCAAACTTTACACGCTAATCCTGTGTGAGGCAAATGGTGCATCTCGAGTCATGGATCTATGACGTCACATGTGATGCATTCATGAGCATTAGTTTATACAACATAACAGCTCATTTGTGCGTCAAACAAATCTAATATCTTCTGAATGTGAGTTATTCATCATATATTAACCAACATGTATGATATTCGCGTTTCTTTTGTCAGTGAGTATGGATGGGCATTTTGATGTTGGTTTGATTTAGTCAACATTGAGTGTATTTCTCACCAGACTAGAAATGTCCGTTTTGTGTAATATACAATCTATAATTTATGTGAATTAGTTCAAACTATTTTTTAATTTTTACACTCCGCAGGACTTGCAATGTATATACCGGTACTGTAAGTCTTGAAATTAATGCGTCTCCAAATTAATATCACTGTTGACCCCTAGCCGAAAAATGCGCCTCAATATCAATGCGACTCCCCCTACCCCATCCCCAGTGGGATGATGCATATCCTTATCTTAATCCAACCTGACCAATCAAACATTAAACAGTACAGCTTATGAGCGCTGACTAGAGCACTTCCGTAAAAACGATAAAACGGTGTTTTCCCAGTTTTTGCCCATTGTGTAATTCCTATTCTTTGATGACATTGTTACATACTTGTTACAACTGCTGCTCAATAAACTGTCTGTGTTTATATTCAAGTTGGTATTTCCGCTATCCAAAGTGTGAAGTGAGGCCGTCTTGTTGATAGTCATTTTGGAGACATAAATGCAAAGTTAATTAATGTGAGCAAAGACCACTTGCATTTCGAATTTTAATTCATGCTCGTGTCAATTTCAAGATTTACAGTATTTGCATCCATTCTCACACATCTCACATTCTCTGACACATCATTTTGCATCTGGTTAAAGACTGTTGATATTATTTCGAGGTTCATTGTGTTCAGCAGTACATGGTTGAAGGGTACTTTTGTTGAGAGCTGTGTAGTTGACCTCCACACTAGTTGTATAGAAAGTAGTTTCTTTATAGCTGGGCCGCCTTGGTTCGGAAAGTGTGTTATATAACGTCTGCTGGTAATACGGGCAATATGGACATAATAGTCAGTGTTAACCTCATTTATTATGTAATACAATGTTGCATATATACCAGTCTTAGAAACTTGGGTCCTAAGTCGTACAAGTGTGTTCCGATTGTATTTGAATCTAAGGGACCGTCTCAAAAGTTCACTGTCAACAACTAGATTAAAATGTCTTATATAAAGTTTCCTACCTACCTACACCTTGAGATTAATGCACTGGATAATGAGATATTAAGTGATTCAGCAACTGAATTGCAAAGACCAATTCAAATATAATAAAATATTTCTTTTGAAACCGAACATGACATTTTATTTCCAAAAAGATTTCTTGGCACATGACTGATATCTGTTACTATTTTCTGTAATAGTGTTGTGACAACAGAACGAGACTTTTTGATTTTTGACTGTATCCACTGTTTTTAATCCGTGGTCTAAAGTACTCACGGAAATGAAAAAAACCAGTTTTTTGACCTCAGATCTTAAATAAAAGCAGTTAATATACAAAATATGTAAATATTCAAACAACTAAATTAGTACTAATTGGGCCGTGGCACAAATACAGCGTATCAAATGTCAATCAATGGATTGTCTGTCCAGACTTGATTATTTACAGACCGCCGTCATATAGCTGGAATATTGCTGAGTGCGGTGTTAAACAATAAACAAACAAACAAACACATTGTTTTGTCATATAAGCCGGTCCACTGTCTGTAAATGTAGTGTACATGTCAGTCTGACTTTACCTCTTACAGAGTGGAAGAACATTAGCAGACACTTCCTCAGTATTTACTAATCAGAGATGTGAAAAATTCCCCAAATTGTTTCAAATTTGTGGCTGTGTAAATCGCTGACGTTTGTCAACGTCAGAGATGATAATGTTTGTTTTATCCTATGTTACATCGCATGTATATTTGTTGTTGGGAAGGATGGTGTTTTGTGATACGAACCAAGATAGAACTGTATGAGGAACATATTGTTTACTAAGGGTGAAACAATACACCAGTGCATTGTGAGTTTACATACAATGATACGATACGATACGATACGATACGATACGATACGATACGATACACGATATGTTTTTTTTCTGTAGCGATACAAGACAATACACTTCCTAAAATAAATTACGTACTGCTTGTTAAATGACCTTGTTTCGTCAGTCAAGGATAGCAAAATGTGTTGTAATCATTTCAAGTTCACTTCTAATAACAGCCGCTCCGAACATGTGTCTACAGCTAGCTTTTCCATTTGAACCTGCTCTGAAATATTTAAGTAAGTTTTCATGTGATGTAAATATGAGTATCGCGATACGTATCATATCGTAACTGAGTATCATGATACGTATTGTATCGTGACCTTGCTGTATCGTTTCACCCCTATTGTTTACAGGACCGAGGCTGTGCAGTACGTTGTATGTTTTTGTGACTGATCATGGTCTCAAGGAGAGGGGAATAACCATTAAATATTCTCACGGGGTGGCTTGTTTTTTTTATTTTGTGGAGACAGAGTTATTTTTCTGTCACTGCTTCAAGATATG